AAAAAAAAAAAAAAAAAAGAGAGAGAAAAGATAATAGTGGAAGAAGAGAACCGCAACCAAGATTAGTACAGAGGATCCAGAAGTTGACGAAGATCCTGCCGATAATAAGCCAACGTCAAAAGGCACGACTACTGCTCATTTTATCAAGTTTATGAACGAACTTCTTAGTGTAATGGATCTTGATGAAACTTTTAAGGGAAGTTACATCGTTATGGATAATGCTTCTATTCATAAATTTAAGCCGAAGTTACGGAAAATTGAAAGTAAAGGCTACAAAGTCATGTGCCTACCTCTTTATTCACCTGAATTGAACCCCATTGAGCAATTTTGGGTAATAGTTAAAGGGAAAATGAAGCGTGATCGGCTTATGAGTGAAGAAAATTTATCTAGTAGGATTGGCAATACCTGCAATGATGTACTCATCAGTGATCTTTATAGCTTTTGTACTCATTCCAAACGCCAAATCATTAAATGCTATAATAAATAATAAAACACGACAAACGTCTATGACAAACTTTACCACGAATTTTACTTGGTTTTCAGAACATTATGGTTTTTTTTATTCATGTTTACTTTTTTTACTGTTATGAGTAATTACACTGATGGTTTTGACCGTCAAACAGCCCAAGTTCTTATGTGGACGCATATGGAGTGAGGGGCGCCTAACCCTGGAGAAGGCTCAACAAAAATAGGAAACAAAAATACTTCTTCACCTGCAATGGTAATACCTTGTGGTAATTACCAAATAATTCTCTAGTGTAGCATATCCTATTACATATTCTGTATTCAAGTGTCTCTGCAAAATTCTGTAATAGAGGTAGCTTCCCCAACATCAGCATAATATTGCTTTCTTAACATAAAATGTCTAAACTCAAATATATAAAAGTATTTCGTTTTTGAGTGGTGCTTTAGATCTCAGTTTTGTATGTGGGAATCATATCTTTAATATCAATTTAACATGGACACAAAGATAAAAGCTTATTTTTAACGACATTGAGAGTAGATAAGAGCAAAAGCAAAAGTAGAAGCATACCTCAATTTAGACTGAGTAGTCTTGGGAATACCGGAATTAGCTTCATCATTTGAGAATTCGAAAAGCTCCATGGCTTTAGCAAGTGCTGCTCGATGGCTTCATGGTCAACAGGACAAAGCTTCAGGCTGGCGTTTGGATAAGAAATGTCGCTTTCATCTTGATAGACAGAGGTTTCAAGTCTTGTTTAGCTTGAACATCACCTTCACCAATAAAATCAATCACAACAAAATTTATTGACTTTTCCATGATTTCAAAAATATGATTCTTTTAAAATAGAGCATTTGGAGACATGTTTTTCCTATGTTGCTTTACATATAATAATTCAGGCATACGCTACTCATGATAGTCTATATAAACGAATTGCTTCGATATATATAGCAACCTCTGGTCCTATCACTTCCACTTAGGGCGTCCGCAGACTACTACCCGCACTTGCGCAGAACAAGTAGATTCCTTTGCTCTGAAAATGTTCAACACAAGGAAAAATAATAAAAAGGAAAAAAAAATTGCTGTTAAAAAAAGAAAGGCCTACGTCGTCATATTTGATTTGCTATTTGCACGCGCTTATTTGCACACTAGTTCACCTCCCTTTTTTTTTTTTTTTTTTTCAGCAGCCTATGTTTCTTTTCTTGGTGGAGGTTTTCTTATGACAACGTGAACAACGCTAGATGAGTGAATAGCCTCGATAATGATATGAGACTGTGCTCTAGTTTTTGGTTGTTTTACTATAGCAGTGCTGCCACTTTTTGATCTAGCTCAATTATTTCTCATATTAATATGAAACGCGGCTTCATAAATCATTTGGTAGCACATCTACAGAAGGTCGCTGGTTTTTTTGTCTACTCTCTTTTTACGAGCCGGTGCTGTAATACATAGTATAAAAAGGAGATATATTGAAAACAAACTTATGTTAATATCTCAATCTTTCTTTCCCCTAGTTAATATACACCGCATGTAGTGTTTGTAGCCTATTTCTTGATTGTAAATTCATATAAAATGTGGGTTTGTAAGCGTAGATTAGTTATTATCTTAACGATCAGCGTCGTCTTCACCACCTTCTCCTGAACCTGATGAAAATGTGCGCATTTTCTTTTAACCAATTTGCTCAACGTTAGTATGCCCTACAACAATACTACAATTGATCTATTTGATGCCTTTCTTGAAGCAAATACAATCCTTGAGCTTGTTTCAGCGTACTATGTACGCAGATACCGTAAAGATATTCGATCTAACACAACGTATAGAGATCTTATAAAGGCTGTACAGGTATATCCTTCTTGTTAGCCTCATTTTCCCGGGTTTGTATCCTTTCAATATTGTGAGTTGGCACTTCATCACACTCGCCGCATGTTGATAGGAAAAATGAGAAGGAACTTGGCGATATAGTATCATTATACGGGCTCTTTTTTTTTTTTTTCGTAATAGCCTTATCCTCAGCCTTTGTTCTATAAGAGAGTAAAATCCATACAAACATAACGTCAAATGACAGAAAATGAGCTAGCATTTGGTTTTTAGTATTGTGAGTTTCATCTAGCAAGAAAGTATGAATTGTTTCTTGAAGATGGATAAATGAACACCTCGACTGTTAAATATTTAGCCATCAATTTGAATAGGAGTTTTCTTAGAAAAAGAAAATAAAGAAAAGAGAACGTGTAAAGGATGAAATGTGGAGCCCCAAAGAGTACCAAAATGAGTAAAGTACGCTTTTTCTGATATTGAATTAGGATGTGTGCAATGTTTAACTTTTTACATGAAGGTTTTTATTTTTACATACATCAAAAACGTGCAAGAGATTAACAATGATTAGAAAAAAAGAAAGGGCGGCTAAAAATACAAATGAATTATAATAAAGTGTAAAGTTATGTAAAAATAATAGTAAAATGAGTATGATATCCTTTATGCTTTGGGAGTCTTCTTGAGAGCTTCTTGGATGTTGATGCCATACCAACCATATTGACGACCAAGTTCATCAATAGTCTTTTGCTTGGTTTCGATAATAAAGATAAAGATGAAAACGAAAGCAACCAGAGAAAGACCGGCAAAGATCAAGAAAGCATAAGGACCACATGCACTAAGTAAGGTGGGGAAGATGAGACCAATGATGAAGTTACAGAGCCAGTTAATGGCCAAACAGGCACCAGAAGCAGCACCAACGGCGTAGGTAGGGAAAGACTCAGCAAGGATAACGAAAGGAACCATACCGAAACCGATAGCGAAGAAGGCGACGTAAAGCATGATACAGACGACTTGAAGAGGAGCAACGTTGTACTTCATACCAATGGTCATCACAACTTGCCAGATACACATACCAGCAGTAGAAATAAGCAAAAGTGTCTTACGACCCAAGCGGTCAATGAGGGCAAGACCAACAAAGGTGATAGCGACGTTCAAAGCGCCAACACCAATAGTGACATACTTGGCATTGTCACCGAAGGAGGCTTCAAAGATAGTAGTAGAGTAGTACATAATGGCGTTGATACCAGTCAATTGAGAAAGGGCATGAACAACAAAGATCTTGATAGCGAGCAAGGCCAAGACGGGAATAGATGCAATTTGGAGGATGTTGAGTTGAGCTTCAGATTCAAAGGCGGCGTCCTTGGCAACAGAGTCATCGAAACCGGCCGCAGAGTCCTTGTCAGATTCAGGAGCAGGTTTGATTTCTTCACCTTTCTTGGTAAGACCGAGAAGCATATCAGTGAATTCAGCTTCGATATCACCGTTACGAAGTCTCAAGAACTCAACACGAGCTTCATCAATTCTGTTTTCACCAATTAACCAACGAGGAGATCTAGCACAGAAGGGAAGAAGGACCATTTGGATGATGGCGGGAGCAACAGTAATCATGACAGCAATACGCCATCCAACAGCAGAGTTCAAGCCAAGGGTGATAATTTCAATAAGCAGAATACCAAGCGTAGTGAAAAGTTGAAGAATGGCGGTAAGAGCACCACGGTACTTTGGAGGGGAAATTTCAGAGACATAGATACCAACAACGCAGGTCATGAAACCAGAAGCAATACCAACAAAGATACGGCCGATAGCGAATTGAGCAGAGGTAGTAGCAGTAGAAAGTAAGATAGCACCAATGAAGAAAGAAGTGTTCATGATAAGCATGGAATCACGACGACCAAATCTCTTGGCCATGTAACTGTTAGCCATAGCACCGATGAGACCACCGACGGCAAACATACCAGTGGCAACACCCCTAATGATAAAGAGTAAATACAAGATAAATTGAACATGTGATGATATATTTACCAAATCCAATCACTCATTGGAAGACACTGAGGTAAGGGAGAGTTTGGATAGTAAGTGACTACACCAGGTGCTACACCGGGACAGTTTCTAACAGCACCTCCGGGAATATTCAATGAAGAAGTGTTGAAACCAGAATTGAAAGCACCTAATGACGCGATCATTGCGCAAAAGACCACAAAGGGCCTCAGAGAAGCGTTCCTTGAATCCATATTAAAAATTAAAAGATATTAAAAAAGATCAAATAATGGCTGGAGAAAACGGGGATCAATTGAACTCACTGCCACTTTTATATGTTTTCACAAAAAAAAACCAATGTCCAACCATATTATTCCGAGTTATTCAGCAGTCGATCTGAGCTTCAATCCGTGTTCCTGTAACCCCTCTTGCCTTTCCATAGTAACGAATTACACAAGCTTACACTTCTTCATTGTAAACATGCTCATTGTACATTCACATAAACAGAACATTCTTCAATGTCGTTCATTGTCTTTTCTTCTACTGTTGCTTCCTCTTGGCAGAGTACAATAAAATCAATCACCGAAAACAAAACAAACTGCTGCACCTCTCCTCACCAATGAAAAGTAGGTAAACCAACATCTCATGATTTCCTTTTTGGGAGACAACCCTTTTTTATGAATAGTGGTCATACTTTTTTTCCTTCTCGAAAATCGATCCCTGCTACGGGGCTTTCGGATGTATATCGCCGTTAGAATGATTATTTGAATTATAAAGTATTAAATATATTGGGTTACAACATTTGATTCAAATGTTCATATGAAAATAATACAAATGCATAGAACTCTGCACTCTGTGCATCCTTTGAAAAAAGAAAAAACTTGTCTGGATTGTGTAACTGGAGTATAAATACCAATATATTAATCTGGGGCGGGAAAATCACGAATAAACAAGTAAAAATGCTGGAAGGGATCGGTTGACAGCTCCCGAAGATGTCCGACCTAGACAACGTGGTTCACGAGTTGTAAGTTATGGAAAGGTAACATCCAAGTAGAGTAATAAAATAGTCCAATATTCAAGTAAACCAAAAATGAGTAATAATATTCAATAAAAACAGTTTTTACTGGGGTTTGATGACAACGCGTATGGTATTACGTAAAACTCGACAAAGGGTAATTTCTATTTCCAGTTGAGAAAAGAAGTCCCTGAAAAAATTTTCTTATTGGATCGGCTTTAACCGTTTTCCCCAAGGGCGAACAGGCCATTATTCGGTGGTTTTTTTTTACTACTTGATGAGAAAGTAATATATGATATAGTCTTTACAAGCGAATCAAAATAACGTCCTTATCTGCTACTCAAAAAGATGAACACAGTGGGACCACTTTAGAGCTGAATTATGAGCGTTTCAGATCGGTCTTTGATTAGAATATTCTTCTTTTGAACATTCTGTCCTAGGGTAGAGCAATAATCACCAGACAGCTAAAGGACTAAATAAGGCTGGAGTCCTATACCCATCCAATCATCTTTATGTTATCCAAAAGAGTTCCCGACTTTATTCTTTATCCTCAAGTGGCTGGGCCTACTCCTTTCCCGAGGAAGCATGGTTATTGCTACGCAAAAAAGTATCATGTACAAAAAGAGAACTTCAGAGAAAGTTTGTTACCATGGGAAAAAGAGAGATGCAAAGGATAAATATAAAGTTTATTTTGTTTATTTGGACTCGTATAAAACAATGAGGTCTGCCTGGTGTAACTGATAGCGGATATTATTTTATATGCTAAACCAGCGATAACAGCAAATGATAGACGACGCTATAGCTTTTAGCGCCATTGATGGTTGATCTGTGCGCAAGTGGACTAAAAGTAAACTAAAAAAGCTTAATTTGGTCTTAAGCCGATACAAGTTTTACTTTCTGACGATTCCCCTTCTTTCACGCCTTATACAGTTTTTGCCCGATTTTTTCCAAGGTAGAAATCACAAAACATTTCCTTCATCTGTTCCGCTCCTTTTTTTCTGTAAGCAGAAAAAAAAGGAAAGGTCGTAGCAGAACTCTCTTCCTTGGTTTGCCCAGCCATGCATTTTTTTTTCATTCAGATGTTGATTCAATATAAGAATGTTTAACTGTGCTCTTTTATTACTCTTTGTCTCCAATGGAGAATAGCGAAAGCATGTTTGGAACACAAAACTTTAAACTGCCCAAATTGTCTATCGCATAGTGTATCAAAGATTGTCTCTATGCATTATATCTGCTGCAGCTGTAGTTTACATGCGCTGAATGTAGTTAAGATTAGTCATCATTCACCAAACCCTCACACTTGTGACTTTCAAGTATAAGGTAAACCACATTACAACCGGTAAGGTCATTGTCTTATATCAAGCATCTTTCCAATTACATAACTCTATACTTGAATAACACTAGATTGTTCATCCTATCCCATTACTTTTACTGATATTGACCATTTCAAATTTCATGCAGAAAGTTGGCACTGAGATCAAAAAGTTAGCATTAACTTTAGGCAACCATTAGCAAAGACCCAAATAATTGATTCAATCACAAGTTTATGTACACAGAAAGGCAAGGGAGTAGCTATCCCTTACATCCGCAATCGAACAGATCACATCTCGATTCACGTACTTAACCCGGAGTAATCCGTCTTCCCAAAATATCATTTCAAAAGACTGGAAGGAACGGTGGGCATAGTATGAATCCTTTTGCTTTCCTTCTTATAAACTTTTCAAGTTTTTACTTGGAGGATAATAAACGAATACCTGTTTTCTAAACCGCTATTGACGCTGGATCTATTCATAACTAGACCAAAAAAAAAAGCTTAATTTGAGCATTGTAAAAACAGACTTCCTCTATGCTCGATTCTGTTTTTACAAGATTCTTTTTTTCTTAGCTTGTCTATCCAGATGCTCTCTCGTATTCTATTGTTTATTGAAAATTGGCTACATACATGTATGATATTACTTGTCTGAATAAATTCAGCAAGTATGGGTATAATGTGCTTCCAATTGGCTTTACTCTGTGTCTTGGCAGACGATGTTTACTTGCTCTGCGATTCTATTTTGATAATAATCTGTTTGAAGCTCTTGTAGTACTTGTTGTCGTAAAGTTTGATAAATGCCCGACCTAAACACCTCTGTCATTATCAAAGTTTTACTTATAAATATCATACCTTTCCAGTTCCTTTGTGATTTTGTCATAAATCGATGTAGAGTTTAGCAATGAAGGATCTTTGGAAATCATGTCTGCCATAAATGCGTTTAACTTGTCGGTAAATTCTTTTCCTTGTTCCTAATGTATTGCTTTAATAAATGCATAATAATCAATATAAGCTACTGTACATACTCCATGCTGAAAGCCGGATAATAATCTCTTTCTCAAGTCATCAAAAGTGCCATTACGCTTCAATTGTAAAACAATATCTTCGGGTGTCATTTTAAAGAAAAAAGAAAGAGAAAAAAAAAAAGTATTTCTTAATTAGGAAATTTATTCAAGCATCTCTCAAAGTCCACTTTTGGACAGTTTTCTAGGGATTCAATTGATCAAGTCTACCTAATGTGCATATAAAGAACAAACCTTGGAAATGACTGTTTGTTTATAAACATGTATGTGTGTGTGTGTATGCTTTACCATATGCCAAAAAAAGAAGAGCGTCGGTCCTATACATAGACCGAAAAAATTGCGGAGAAAATTTTACTGTTAGCATATGGAACAAAATTTTTAGTCATTAATTTCTTTAAACACACACACTTTTCTCTCTCTTTCTCTGTTATTCCAGCTAGGATGGATCATTCATACTCTCAACATCATAGAATAATGTCATCAGATTATCAGAGAAGTCCAACATATAATCTACCGCCGTTAAGGCCGATACAACCTTGTCCGTATCCAATGTATTACCCAATGCAGCTGCCAGGGAAACCAGACGATCATCCAAACAAACGCAAACGTACAAGTAGAGCATGGTACATACAATCTTTAATTTTTCATGTCTTTACTTATACAGTGTATACCCTTTAGTGATGTATGTAGACGAAAAAAGATAAAATGTGAGCTAATTGGTCTCGCTGATAAATGCAAATATTGCCAAAGCGCACATTATGAATGCACATTTAATGACACGTAAATAAGAATAATAATTGTATAAATCTATATTGACACTAGTATCCTATAGGGCGAAAAAACGTGGACCACCTAAAGGGTAAATAAGATATATATACTTGATAAGATAAAGATTAATATATTTCCCTCTCAGCTATGTTGAAGTATTGGAGACTAGATTAAAAAAGATGGAGACCATGTTGGACGAATTGACACAAAAAAAGACTGGCAGTATACCTCCCCCTGAGGAGGGTCATGCATCCAGTGATAGGAGCCCCCCAGGCGCCGAACGGGTTACACGACGAGATAGTGAAGATGGAGTCTTTGGCAAAGCTCCAACTGAAAATGTGATCACCCTCAAGGAAGATAACGAACAAGAGTATACAATGCCGGTCGAATTGTTATCGATAGCCTCTGAAGGAAGCATGCGATATATATGCGAGCTTAGCTCATTACCTACAATGCTGCGAAAAATTGATGTGAGCAATTACCGGTTCGGAAGGAGATTTAAGCGGTTGGGTGACAGCATTTTTGAGTATGAACCGAGCCCTAATATATCAAATCAACAGTTACTTCAGCGTCTTGGTGCATTGAATCCCGGAGAAAGTATTAAGGGCGTCAATGATTGGATATACAGAGCGACTGGTGTTGATAAAACGACAAGTGACGCCTTGCTGAAAGTGTAAGATGTTTACAATGCTAATATTGCTGATATTAATCAGGAAAAGAGAGTAGATATTTTGCCTATATTCATCCAGCACTGCCTGTACTCAACAAAGTGCTCTTCTTGAAACAGTATCGTGGAGAAATTGATCAGTATCCCGCTGCGCCACTTTTGAATTCTATCTTTGGCGCTGCAGTTCGTTATATTGAAACCTGCAAGGCGTTTGGTGATGAAATACCTTACTGTAGTCATATCGAACTAAAGAAAGGATGGTCCGAACAGTTCTTTGAGAATGTAGTGACTCTTTTAAAAGATCGATATTGTCCATCCATATCGACTATTCAAGCCATTGCCATTGCTAATAACCACAGAGCAAGTTGGGATGAAAAGATCGCAAGTTCATGGCTGCTCAATTGTGTGGTAAGTCGTATATCTCTCTTCAATTAGTTTTCTTATTTATTTATTTAGGCGGTTCGTATGGTAAGGGAGGAAGACTAAACATGCCATCACTATGTCATTAAAAAACTGCAATGTAGGCACAGCATGTTGGACTGCACCGATTAAGCGATCAATGGCCAATCCCTGAGAGCGAGAAAGAGGCGCGTAAGCGAATATGGTGGTCAACTTATATTCTTGATAGATGGTCTGCTGCAGCCACGGGTAAACCTCAGACGATCTTGGATGAGGATTGTGATGAAAGCTATCCCAAGGATTTGGCAAACCAGGAAGAAGTGATGGACGATCATGATCAGACGATTCCGACATTCCCATCCTTGGATAAGAATATGGCAAAGAAGGTGACAAGTGAGAGTATCCCTCTTTATCAACCCTTTGTGCAAATCGCCAAGCTTTCGGAAATCTTGGGCAAAATTCTCCAGGGCCTTTATACGCCTTTAGCCAAGAAGCATAGCCAAGAACATGGTAGTGATGCAATCGTTGCCTATTTGGACAGGGCATTGTCAGAGTGGAGAGCGGCTTTACCTCCTTCGCTACAGTTTTCCAACAGCACACGTAGACCTAATGCTCAAGGAAACGCACCACTTATGTCTATGTCAGGTAAAAATGATATTATTGCACAGAGAAAAGGGTTAATCTTGTTTTTTAGCCATTATTCATCTCTGTTACTACACACTCTTAATCCTTCTTCACCGGCCCTTTATCGAAAATGACGAAGGAAATCGTTCATCGCAGTCTTCTTTGAATATATGTACATGTGCAGCGACACATTGTGTAGAGGTTGCCGAAAGGATGCATTACCGAGATTTTTTACTTGTCTCTTGGAACTTTGCCATATACCCAGTGTTTACAGCTTCATTGATTCACATTTACAATGCTACCAACAAAGATCATGATATTGCAGAGGCTGCAAAATCAAATTTGGCAAAGGCTGTCTACGTTGTTGAAAGACTCTCTAAAGTGTCCTATAACGCTTCTAAACTTCATGATTTGCTTCTCGAATTAGCAAAGGCGCGTGGAATCGATATACTACAAGATAAACCTGCGACTAAACCTGAACGAAAGCGAAAGAAAAAAGGGCCACGGGAGGCATTTGATCAAGAGTCAATGAATCATCGTCTTGCTTTTTGTTCTTCTCCCTCTAGAACATCGCCTAATCCTGGTAGCTCAATCACCATGCTATCTGATACTGAAAGCTGCATACCGTCAAGTCAGTCATGTTCATCAGCAGATGACTGGATCAATGGCCTTCATTATAATCAACAGCAACAACACCAGCAACAGTCAGCAGCCCCAAACTTATTATTAGAGACAGATCCATTTTCATTAAGACAGTTCAATCTACCACAATATGAACAAACAACAATGAATGGATTGCCCATATCTAATGGAAGCAGTAGTAATCATAATGTTATGATGCAATATCAGCAGCCAATACATAGTACATCGTTTAATGTAGTAGATAGCTTATTATTAGGCTCACCTCCACAGATTATGAACAATACACAGTACAACCCTGTCATGTCAACTCAGCATCATCAACAATCACCAATGACAACGTTTAGAAACAGACCAGATAACCCTTTCTGGGCAATGCCTAGTAGTATGGAATTGGATGAATGGATGGCTTATTTATTACCAGATCAGCATATGAATAGGCAATAGCAATAATAATAATAATAACAGTAATAACAGTAATAGTAGTAATAGTAGTAATAGTAGTAATAGTAGCAGTAGCAGTAGCAGTAGTAGTTGTAGTGATAACGATTATGTTGGTAATAGCTATTTAGGATTCATGATAAAAGTACACAACAAAGAGACTTGTACATATATATAATATATGTGTGTATAAAATAAACGTATAGGATTATAACATGTTCATGCTTTAAGCTTCCTCTAGTGAAGTTTCTAGCTTACTCTGAGCATCCACTTGACCTGCATATCCCTGTTTGCCTGTCTTTCGAGCAACGAAATCACGAACAAAGTGAATCAGCCATTGAATGAAAAAGGAGGCAACGACAATTAAACCTACAGCAACATACCATATTGCTGCGCGTCCACCCTGACTCCAATCCAAAAATGGATATACCCAAAATCCTTGACTTTTAAAAAGGTTAGATCATTGTCCTTGTTTGTTTGCTATATACTTACGTGGCGTGAATGATGAATGTCATACACATGTACAAAATCACAGTGAACAAGACAGGCAGGATCATATGAATGATCACTTTCTGTCTGCCGAGAATGACATCAAAGATCATGAGGAAAAATGAAACGCCGTGGACTGAGGTGTTTATCCAGGCAGAAACACCAGATGCTATTGTGGAACAAAGGCAGGTGAGCTAAATCCTTACATAAAAAAAAAATACATTACTGGCTGAGCCGCGTAGAATGCTCCAATAAACAACAGGTGTGACAATGCTATATTGTATATATTAGAGAAAAGATGTTTGTAAAGCAAAGAATAGCTTACTTGAACGTGATTACGGTGTGATAGAGGTAAACATAAAGATAATTGAGAATGGTGAATTGATTAAAGTAGAAATCTAGGCTTTTTGAATGCAAGTATCGAAAGTGGTATACAGTGGAGGTCTATTTGTAACATTAAAAAACTTCATAAAATACAAAAAGGCTGTACTTACAACCAAGTATGCGTGGAGACCGATGAAGGTTAAGTGAGTGAACATGTCGAAAAAGTACTTCATATAAGGCCCTGTCACTCCAATATCTGTCCAAATGACAATGGTAGAATAAAGAGTGAGGATGAAGCGAATGATGAAGAATGCTTTTGAAGACATCCAGTAAGACGTTACTGTCGCTTCGGGGACGAATTGATCGAATCCAAACCATCTTATGACTGCATAG